TATAAAAGTTCTTTTAATGACCAATTTCTAACTCTTCACATTTAAAATAAAAGCCCTAAGCTACCAGTATTAGAATCTATGGAAATTACCAAATTAAAAAACACAGATATAATTTTCAATGATCAACTTGAGATAAACAGTTCTCTTCTTCTCAACTTATTTAGTTAAAGACTATAAAGGGTTAGACGCATACCAAAAATAGATCATTGAGAAAGGCACTTTGACGAACAACTTCCATCAAGTAATGATCGAATCCATTACGTTTTTACTTATCTTTATTGTTTTTGTTATCTTACTTTAGGTACTCAGTTATCCAGAGTACTTATTATTTTCTTTTGAAATTCACTTATTACAATTTTCAGTGGCTCTTAATTTATTTGACCCGCTGTTTCTGAATGGTCGTTCAATGGTTACAAACTTTTTTTAAAACCTTTTTATTAACTAAAAAACCTTTAAAACGATCACTGGTAAAAAATTTTAGGCAATTTGTAACTAAAATAAAGTCCACTTACATTTTTTGTGACGCAGTAAGTAACAAACTCGCCCCCAACAAAACTACTCTGGTTGAAACTATTTCTTGTTCATTTACAATTTTCTGTATTTATATACAAACATTACATTATAAAAGTTTAACTGGCTTGGTTTAAAAGGACACTATTTTTGCAATTTGTCAAACAGTCATCTTTTATTCTTGATAAACTTTTTCCACCTATAAGTTGGGTTGGTAACCACCTCTGAGAAAAGCACATATTGGCATAGGCTAGATTTTAATCTTTGAGCTACTGTCTACCTATTGCCAACATGATACAACCGTGATATCCTGAACTACATGTAATAATTGACATTCTCTAAATCCTGCAATAATAAGTAACACAAAAATGTTAAACTATGCCTTATACTGAAAAGTTATGACGCTATGTTGAAGCTTTGAAATTAAAAGAATTAAATTAAAGAATACAATATTTTTGATTCATTCCTTCCTTTTTGTTTCTATTCTGAACAAACTAATAAACAGCCTAATTCTGATTAAATACACAAAGTGACAAATTTGTCATATTGAATTTAAGAATGTGTCAAAAGTCGCGAAAACAAAATGTTACACTTTCCACACACACACAATTTGTACAAACCCCAGCTCCGAGTGACATGTGTGTTCCAATATATCAGTTTGATCCAGATGTTTGAAGATCAAACCGGTCACACTCCTTAATGAAGCGGTACCTATCTGATCCCCTAGCTATAATCAACCACCGATCCCCATCGCAGGACATAGCGAATGGGGAGTCTTTTGTACTGAGCGTTACTTTGGATACCCTGTGTAATGGGACATCCTCTGTTTTATTTTGTGGGGTTAGGACATCTAATTTTAGGGGTAGCTAGACGAGCTTTTCTCCCCATTGCTTTCTAGTTTTGATACACTTTCCAGTTGACAACATATTAGACATGATCTAAACAATTTAAATTTGGATCATTTTACCTTCTAACTTTTACTATATAGTGCACATCTTAAGTCTCCCCCTTCCTCACAAATTATATGAATTATACACTAAAATTAATAAATTTCTATGTACTTAAACTATAACCTGTTTCATTGTTTTTATTACATTTCAGTGACATAACAATTATGGCCACCCAAATAGCGGATGACGCCATTTTATTAAATAGGGGTAAAAAATAGATGCAGATATTTATGATTCATTTTTGGGCTTTCTACAGTTTGATAAAATTTATTTGTTATTTTTGAAAATATGACGTAATTGACTTTTTTCATAAATGACATTAAATGGTGTGTTATATATCATTTAAAAGCTATAACTTAGAAATTTTTTAGATTTTTGTGTAATTCTGCTAGGGCAGTTAAAAATGGCCATTATTAAACTACGTCCAGTGAATAAAATCTTTATTGTATGTATGTATTTTCGCAATGTGCAATAATTAGTCTGATAAAAATATTTTCTTTTCTTTTTTGAATATCTTCAAGTACTTTGTAGCATGCGAGTACGTCTTTACTTTCTTAATTACCTGTTTATCTTTTTAGTTTCTCTTGCACACTTTGCTCTAATTTTATCTCTTTACTACTGTACTTCTCTTTCTTACATTATATTACTCTGTTCTTGGATTTAGATAATGGATCTTAATAAATATCATGTGATATATTTTACAAATAGCACATATCAAATATTAATCAAACAAACAAAATTAAAACAAACGTAGTTCTGAGATATTCAAGGTTTTAAATATCTATTGCAGTGAAAAAACCAACAGTGTCAAAATAAAACATGGGAATAACCTACAGAGTCCATAATTACTCTCACGCAGGCCATCGCAGCTGTGTTTATTAGTTGTTGTTTCAAAGTCATTTGAAGCTTCAAGTTTCAAGCTTGTTCATAAAGTTGTTAAGAAGTTATGAGTATTATTTAGTTTTAAAGTTTTATTGTTTCAAATGTCTGGTACTGACGAAAATACATGTGTTAATGAAGAAAAATCAACGAAAAAGCTTAAAGCACATGGCAGCCTAAGAAATGTTGCTAAGAAGCTACGAGCCTTGACCTTTGAAACCGGAGAAGACTGTCAGATCAAGCAATATAAGTGCTTTCAGAATATTTCTATTGCCAAACAAAGTGATTTAATAAGACAGTTTATTAACATTGGCCGTGACAATAGCAATGATGCCCAAAATAATTACTTGTCTGGAATTATTCAGTACGACCTGAGTTTCAACGAAGGCCAAGGAAAAACGAAGAAGATGCTAGATTTAATGAAATCTCCTATAGCTACAAAGTAAGAGTTAGTAGAAATGGCAGTGCAGTAAATGTACCAGTATATTTTAAAGCGTTTCAATTACTATTTGGAATTAAAGCCTTCCGATTATATACAATAAAAACATCTCTAATAACAACTGGAAAGGCGCCGATCGATAGAAGGGAAAAGCATAAAAGACCTTATAAGATAGATCGACAAAGTCGTAAATTGCTATTGCAGTTTTTTGGCTCATAAAAGGGATGTAAAGTGCGCTACAGTTTGATTCTAACCGAGTTTACCTCCTAGAAGATATGAATGGTAAAAAGCTTCGTGAATTATTTTTGACTAAACATCCCCATATTGAGATGTGCTATGAAACATTCAGGCAAATCTTTTTGTCATAGTTTAACATCTCCTTCGGATACCCACGAACTGAAACTTGCTAATGGTATGACGAGCAGAAACCAAAAGTATTGCTTAATAAAAGCAAAAAAAGCTTGATAGAAAAATTGCCGTTTTAGAAGGTGATGATAAAAAAGTAAAGTTAGAGAACGATATCACGAATCTAGAATTTAAAAAGACACTCTATTTGAAGAAGACCGATTGGTTTTATGAATTGAAAAGGCGTACAAAAACTGCAGCTAGAAAGTCATCAACTGTAAAGGCAATCTCTATAGACTTCGGAAAAATCTTCCTACTCCAAAATATAACTTCTTCTGAAGTGTCTTTTAGAAGACAACTGTCATTTTATATTTTTAATATTTGTATTTTGTCCAATATTGTTTTAATCATGTACACGTACGACCAAATCATCACAAAAAAGGGTCTGATTTGTTGTTGTATCATGTGAACAAATAATGTTTAAATAGTGGGGTACATTTTTGTCCTCCAAGTCCTACAAACAGAAATTTTCTTTTCCCATTTGGCAACTAAAACAGTTAATGTTTTTTAAAACAAAATGCAAAACCGTGAATCACAAAGAAACGTATACCGGATCTTTCACGTCGTCTCTAATAAAAGATCAACGGAAGAACCAGAAGGGGAAATCAGAGGTACCCGATCTTTAAGAAGCCAATCAGCTCTACCAAAAGCTTATACCTTTGCCCAAAGAAAAGCGTACTGATCTAAGAGTTGTAATGAAATTCTGTGAAGAAGAGGGATCTAAAGGGTACTACAGCCAATTTTTTTCTGCCAATCAGCCTGAGTTACCATCTGATCCCGATGATGTTCCCGACGATCAAAGCGATTTTTAGAAATTAGGTTAACTTTAGTCAGTAGTTTGTAGTGTGATTTGTTCTTTTCATGTGATGTAGAAATACCTTACGAAATTAAAAAAATAATAAAAATAATTTTTTTTTGATCTGTTCAGGGGAAGAACCAACTCAATTCACATTTTGAAATAGAAATAGAAAGAAGAAAAAATATCTAATCACGAAATAAAAATTCATTCATAACATTATTCCAGCTATTTCTTAAAAGTATATCGAACTTAATATTATATAAAAATATTTAGCTAAAAATGTCAAAATTTCAAATGTTGATTTCTTTCTCCTGAAAAATATAGTTTTTTGACTGTGTTGGCTTTTCCTCTGTACCCTTCATGATTCATTTTAATCGGTATCTTTTCCTTGTAGTTTGACTAGATTATCTGTAAATAATTCCCTTGCTGTTTCTTCAAGTGTTTTATGTTTTATAAAGAAAATATTTTTTATAGGTTTACACATCACAACATGTTACTTTTATTTTTATAGGTCATTTTTGGATCAAATTACCGGACACAAAGCTCGATATTTATTCAGTGGCCTATCTGTTAGGTATGAGTTACTAGTGGAAGTTACTGTTATCTGCTAGACAATGCTTTCCCCATTGTTTCATTGCCTCCATTTACTTTTACATTATTGATAAAATGTATCGTTTAATATTTGTCTGACTAGAGTTTACCATAATTGTAGTATTTCTGCCTAATTAAATATCATCCGTGATATTCTTTTACGATGTATTAATTTTTTGAAAATATTTTTATTCCGTTTGTTTTAGCCTTTTAAAATCATTTTTAAATTAAATATAATTTTTTGTATAATTTATATTTTAACGACTTTTGAACACACACATATTTTAAAATACCTAGATGTATATAAAATGTTTTTCTATACAATTGTATTATTATCTGTATTATTCTTTATTGTATATTTTTATCGTTATTTTTATTACTGTCTATTGAGCTGTATAATGAAAATAGCGATATACAATATTCAAATTTAGGCCGGAACATTCCCTTTGCTTCCTCTTCTCCTACTAAGTTGTTTCCAAAATCTTCGGTCTAGTTGTTTGTCCTATAACAAAAAAAAAGCTAAGTTAACCTTGTGATTAGAATAAACCTTGTGATTAAAATAAGATATTTGAATTATGAGGTTGGCTAATAAACCCATAAAAAACACAGATAGTATTCTTATATCCTCCTGAGACCTGATGTCCAATTAAATGGACATTTACGTATTATATATTTTTTTCGCAAGAACTAAATTTACACCGCCTAGTCCCACAGTTCATCGTAGTGTACATATTAGTGAACCTGACAACAGCGCGCTGTATTGATGAGACCACATTTTAATTTAGTTAACCTCTTAATCGTAAGTGATAAACATGGCGAGCAGTTCTAGAAAAACAATTATTGATGGAAAGTAGCTAATTTTATTAGATTATTAACCTAAATGTTGCTTAGTCTAATAACATTCGATATTTTGAGTTTGTTTTTATCTAAAATAGGGACATCCATTTCTATGGACGTCAGGTCTTTAGACATACATAAAATATTATGTATTATTGTGCATTAAACGTCAATAAATTAATTTAAAACTACAATTGTAGCTTTAATTCCCAAATAAAATAGTAAATTATATAAAATATTATATTAGACTTTTTTGTTTCTGCTGTCTTTGGTAACAAAAAATTTTTAAGACCCGAAGTAGACTATGAAAGACTTCTTGAATGTCTGGAAAGTTCGGATATAGACGTTTCAGATTCTGAAAACTATGATGACGGCCTTGATCCAAATGAAGAATTGTCTCAGCAATTAGATTTGGCTCAATTTGGCTCAGATCATGAACAAGACACAGAAATACCATCCGAAGATGAATTAGATAACGTGCCACTCAACGAACGAAAGAAAAAGCTTGAGAACCGAAATACATGGAATAAAATGGGTGTTTTTGTCCCTCAGCATGTAGATTTTATTGGAATTGTCGATACAGTCCACGAGAGGCAAAATTGGCAAGTTGAAAACTACGTCGGTATGTATTTTGATGATTCAGATTTTGAGAATATTTGTAATTGTACGAATATTAAATTTTTGCAAGAAAAAGGAAAAGCTTTGAACGTTACTCTAACTGAAGTGAAAAATTTTTTTGGAATATCTATCCTAATGTCCTGTCTAAAGTATCCACAAATTAGAATGCTTTGGGCCAAGACAACAAGAGTCAACAGTATTGCACAAGCCATGACACGTGATAAATATTTTCAAATCAGAAGCAATTTAAAAGTAGTTATTGACGCTGATGTATCTCAAGATCAAAGAAATGCTGACAAATTATTGAGGATCCGGCCTTTGATTGAAAGAATACGAAGAGGTTGCTTAACACTTCCAAGATACAGTGAAGTTTCTGTGGACGAACAAATGATACCTTTTACGGGAGTGTGTAACATGAAACAATTTGCTCGAGGTAAACCTAATCCAGAAGGATTAAAAAATTTTGTCTGCGCCACTCCCAAAGGATTAATTTTAGACTTCGATATTTATCAAGGGAAAAATACATTTCTGCAGAATGATGATGATGTTAAGACGTTAGGTGTTGGTCCATCTGCAGTAATTAAGTTATCTACAACATTATCAGAAGGAACACATGTTTTCATTAATAGATATTTCACCACCTTACCTTTACTTGAGTACATGTTAAACAAAAATATTTTTTTAACTGGTACAATAATGAGATCCAGAATACCCAAAGCAGTTCATGTAACATCAGATAAGGTGATGAGTCGATTAGGTCATGGTTCTTCTGAGCAAGATGTAAGATCTGATGGAAAAATTAACATAGTCCAATGGTATGACATGAAATCAGTTATGTTAGCGTCAACTGCGTTGCAAATAGAACCTTCAGATGAATGTAAGCGATGGTCAAAAAAGGACTCCCGATATGTTGAGGTACCTAGACCAAATATTGTTAAAAAGTACAACGAATCCATGGGGGGAATAGATTTAATTGACAGGGTGATCAGTTATTATCGAATGGGAGCTAGAAGTAAGAAATGGACAGTAAAAACCATTTTTCACTTATTTGATCTTGCGATTGCCAATTCTTGGATTCTGTACAGAGATGACCATAAGCAACTGGGTCATGCTAATAAAACCGTTATGCAGTTCCTGGAGTTTAAAATAGCTGTTTCTGAGTTGCTCCTTATAGATAACATTTCTGAAAATTCTGATTTTGAGAACATTTCAACACTGGTAACTAGAAACAGTTACAAACCTAGAACATCACTTCAAACGCCTACTAAGAGAAAGATACAACACATTCCTGCAATGGCATCCGAGTTAAAAAATTCTGTTAGATGTAAGCTTCCAGGTTGTAAGGGTAAAACAAAAGTTTATTGTGAACCATGTGACATATTTTTATGTTTAACAGGTTGACTGCCAAGCTGAAAATTCTAATTTTTCCTGTTGCGCCAAAGTAATTTATACTAGAAAGGTGCATTAAAAAACAGTTCGGCACAAACTAAATTTTGTTATAAATTAAAAGAAAAAAATTACGGCCAAAATTTGAAATCGGCTAAAATGACCGCTCTGGCGTAGGCGAACAAAATAACCTGTCTACGCCAGAGCGGTCACCTATAGCGGCCACCTCTATCCTTATGCTAAGGTAATAGTTCGCGCGTTTTAGCTAGTTAGTTAGTGTAGACTATTATTGCAAGGGTGTGGCTCGTTGTTTTTTATTGTGTGTGTACTTGTATTGCAAAACTACATTATGTTTACAAATCGGCGTACTTTACGTCTATTGTAATTAGCTGGAGAAATGCCTCAAACAGATGGTAACACCTGCATTATTTTATTGTTTTTCTGTAAATATAGGTTAGATTGTTTTATTTCAGAAGAGTCAAAAGCAGATGACGACTTTGGTTCATTTAATTCTACAGATTTATATGTACCTTCAAGTTCGGAAGAAATGGACATATCATCTAATTCAGACGATGATGAAAATATTAGTCCAAATAAAAAGAAAATGCGGTTTGATATAAACAAAACCACTGATACTTGTGAAGCTCAAGCAGGTCCATCAGGTATTGGTAATGGGGTAAATATCAATCCACTGACAAACGAGCCGCTTAGAGATGTCACCAATATGTCCGACGATGAGTTACTACCAGAAAATAATGAGATTAGAAATGATCCAATGGTTGATAGAGGCGATTTTGTGATTGATCAACCAATTAGTAGCCCAGTTCCAACAGAATGGACAAATCCTGTTAGTAATCACCAATAATTCGATTTTACTGAGACATGGGAACTCAACCCAATTTATGCAGCAGCTATTTCTTTAGAACAAGTTTCACCGTCAACCTGTTTTTACGCATTTCTTGATAATGAAATAGTGGATATGATAGTCAATCAAACCAATTTATATGCAAAACAGCAAGCGTTAGGAAATGATGTTTCACTGAATTCGAGGTTACACACCTGGCAACCAACGAATAAAAAGGAGATGTATCAGTTCATCGGTCTTCTGGGTTACATGGGATTAGTTCAAATGCCTTCACTATCACATTACTGGAGCAGAAAACCCTTATTTCGTAATGATATTGCTTCAACTGCTATGAGTCGAAATCGCTTTGAGCTGTTGCTCAGAATGTGGCACTTTACAAATAATGAAGAACGCAAAGAGGGAGATATACTGCACAAAATTCAACCACTTGTCGACCTACTCTTAAGAAAATATCAAGACACATATACTCCAGGAGAAGTATTTTGTATCGATGAAAGTATTGTTCCTTTTCAAGGAAGATTAGTGATGATACATGCCTCAAAAAACTCATAAATATGATGTTAAAATATTTAAGTTATGCTGTGGTAAAAGCTATACTTGGAATTTACAAATTTATGCTGGCAAAGAAAGAGACAGAGGAGCTTCAGTTCCTACCAAAGTCGTGATGAATTTGTCAAGAAACCTCCTGAATGCAGGTCGAACTGCCACTACTGATAATTATTACACCAGCCTTGAACTGGCTAATCGTCTACTAGACAACCGTACACATTGGATTGGAACTTTGAGATCAAATCGTAGATGTAACCTAAAGGAGGTTTTGGATAAGACATTGAAGAAGGGCGAAACATTTTGCAAAGAAAATTCAAGAGGTGTATGTGTGATAAAGTGGCATGATAAACGCGATGTTCTTATTTTGTCTAACTAAGCACACTGATAGTTGCCAACTTATTGAACGCCATTCAGGACCCATAAGAAAACCGGATGCTATAATTCATTACAGCGCTGGGAAATCATCAATCGATTTGTCAGACCAGATGTCCAGCTATAATTCCGCTTTGCGTCGATCATTAAAATGGTATCGTAAAATCGCGATCGAACTTCTGCTAGGTACAACTATTGTAAACGCCTATTGTAAACGCTTATATAGTATTCAAGACACTTTCTAATTCAAACATGACGATTACTAAAATCAGAGAAGAAATTGTATCTGACTTAGTCAAAGGTTGGTCCGTTTATGATCAAGTCGAACAAGCTGAAGATGAACCACTGCCACCAGCAACTACAAGAAAGACTTTACGAAATCATGCATTGCTAAAAAAAGATGGAATTGCTACTTCTGTAAGGAAATACTGCAGAGGTTGCTACAAGAAAAAAACCACAGGAAAAATATCTAAAAACAAAGTAAAAAAAGTTACTATATATTGCACAGACTGCCAGGGGTATCCTCATTTTTGTCTGCCTTGTTTTAATTTCAAACATTTAAAAATGTAATGACTTTTAAAACCATGTTATTTTTCAATTATTTCAATAAAAACTTACTTATTTATATCTAAAATCATTGATTTTTTACTTATAATGTACAATTTTTTAGTGGTATACACATATAATACATAGCGCATATGTAAGTAAATATATTTACTCACATATCCATACAGGCCAGGCGGTCATGTTGCCTATGCATTTTTAACGAAATCGGCGGTCATATACCCTTTACAGACACTTTTGTTAAACAATGCACGGCGGACAATATGACCGCCATGGCGTGAGTTACTAGTACTATGAGCGGGCATAATGAC